CCGCGAGCCCTCCTTCGACGATCAGAACCGCTGCCCCTTTTCCGGCGACCCGCACAGCAACGACGATTGGCTACCCCTCCGCGCTCAGAAGCCCGTCGAGCCGTCCTCCGCGAGCATCGACGATCCCTGCCACCGCGCGCCAGCCAACTGACGGCTCACCAGATGCCGCGGCCAACCTCTCTCCGGCGTGACGTGAACAACAGCCACGACCAGTCCCAGCAGCAACCTCAACGAACTCCGGTAAGCCCTCCGTCGCTGCAAGCCGCGAGCTTCCGCCGGCGAGTACGTGAGCCAGCATCCTCCGGCGACCCTCCCTGTTCGCACGGGCCAGCGACGACCCCTACTCACGAACGGCTGTCCTTCACCACCCCCTGAACGCTGCGAATCTGGCGAGCCGACCACCGATTGCAAGTCCGACGAATAGCAAATCCTCGCGACGAGCCTTCAAGCTGCCGCCTTCCTCTACTGGTTCGCAAGTGCCTCCGCCATGAATCGCCCTCCAATCACGATCAGCGGCCCGCGAGCACCCCAACAGCGAACCTTGACGATGGTCAGCCCCTCGTTTTCCGACAAGCGAGCCGCCTCGTATTGTCGAACGAACCCTACGTCCCGTTTTTGAACGAATCCCGAGAACGGTACAAGGCTTGACCCGTCTAGTTTATTTTTGCGTGATATTATGTACTCGATTATGTGAATGTGTTCGTTTGACGTGATATCTCGAATCATATGTGCTAGTATATGATGATGTGTTGTTTTTGAATGAGGATTGTGAAAATTGTGTTATATACTTGCGAATTGGATATCAAAGTAATTGCCGTCACTTTGAAAAATTGTTGAACTAAATATATGTAGTTCTTTTCGTGGAAATCCTGGAGTTATAAGTACTTGGAGTTCTCCTTGATCTGTTAGTTTTTGTTTGAAGTCGTTTCGAGCTATAATCTGAGAGATACGATTTTTCTTAACCGAGCATGCTGCTGAACCGTAATAAATTCACCATAAATCGAGTTGTTATCCGTTTGAGCTGAATTTTTTATATGCTGTGCCTCTGAGTATGTGGAATATGTGTGCCAAGCCCCTGATTTTATTTCTGAGTTTTGGAGTTCAAATGGTTAAAACGATTTCTGAGCAGAAACTTGTAAAAATCATAAAAAATCGTACACTTGGATTTTTGAGCTGAAACATTCAGAAACCTGTTATTTTATGATGGTTTAAGTTTTGTATAATTTCATATTAAAATTCGAAGTGTAGCGTTGTGAACTATTAAATGCTAATTTTGGTGCTGTTTTTGCTTAAATCATTTAAAAATGTTTTCGGAAGAATTTAGGGCTGAAACTTGGTGAGTTTATGTGCTTTTGCATTTTTTATTATGTGGTAAAGTTTCAGGTTGAATGGTTGAGCCTAACTCCTGATTCTGAATTTTGTTTATTTTGGAGTCTTAATGTTTGGTTATCGGTTGGTTAGGTTCGGATAAGATTTATTTAATGTTGGCATGTTTTATGTGAAATATTTGAGGAATATGAGTTGTGTCCAAATCTAGTAGTCACTTCATAGTGCTTAACTCGGTCAAGGAATCCACGAGTCGCTTAGTCGATATGATTTCGACTAAGTATATGTGCCTTGTGTGGTACTTTTTTTATATTGGATAGTCAGTGATAGGCTATTATAATTATTGTAGGTTCCTCGAGCTGAACTTGTGCCATAATTCCTTCAACTCTGTGTTTGGCTAAACCTCATGCTATATCCAGGTGGGTTTAATGTAAAATTGTCTATGCTGTAAATGTTAGTACTGTTTTAAATTTTTGGTATGATCAAGTATGCATGTGGAACATGTAGCCTTCGATGCTGTACCGGCCATCGAACGGTTATCCCCATATCTATAGAACGTACCCGTTGGGTAGTCTCCTTATTATTGTGAGCCGTAAGACCTGGGTTAAAGGTCCCTGTGTTGGACACATTTTGAGCCGTAAGACCTGGGCTAAAGGTCCCTGTGCTGGACAACCCCGTTGGTAAGACCAAGGTGAGGCCTTGGCCGGCGGGATACTCCTACTGGCCGGACACTCGTTGTAAGGCCTTAGATAAGGCGTTCGGTATATAGTTCGGCAGTAGTCTATTGATATAGGTGTGCACATGAGTCTATTATTGATATGATTGATAGGAGATTGGGATAATTAATTGATTCGTATACATGCTGAGACCATACCTTCTTGATTATTGATTACTGTTTCATTATTACGAATAATGTTTACTGCATAGTGGTGAGCACTGTTTGGATCTGTGAGGATCTCGTTATGTACAAATCACGAATTCAATAGCAAACGTAAACCTATGCGCAGCGGATTTAAAGGTTTGACGTAGAGAACTTACGGCTTAAAATTTATGCAGATCTAGCTGACCACGAACGGTTGACCGAAATTGATTGACCGCAAATCACGTCTTGGGTTGCACGAACAAGATCAGATCACAATCGGATCAAACGGATGCAAACAGATCAAAACGAATTTTTGCAGTCAGGCTTCTTTCGGCGGCACGTGAGGGTGCGTGCAGCGTCGTAATCCGGCGACGTCGGCGGAGATGGAAAGCTCTCGTCGAGACGGTCGTCTGGGTATACTGTACGTCTCAATCGGACTTCTGGTTAGTTCTGTAGGTCAAAATATATTTCGTCTCGGTTTACCTACAGATCTTCTACTGTATTACTCAATACACCCTTCTTCAACTTGTACCAGTGGAGCAACAAGAAGAAGATAAAGCTCGAATGAGATCTAGAGAGAGAGGCGTGTGAGGCGTGTATCTCGTGTGAATGAGACTTCTGTTCTCTTCTCATGAGCTTAATGATGTATATACAGAGCTACAGTAGGGACCCTAAGGAGATTAGGAAAAGGGCTCCTTAATTAATTAGACTAACTGTGGGCCAAACCCACTCCTCTAATTAATTAAATAATATTAATGGGCCACCAACATTATATTATTGCACTCCCTCTTCCTGGCCCAAATTACATTTGAGACTTCAATAATAATTACTCGATTTACCTCCCCACGTTTAAGATATAATGTCCATTAATTAATTCGATTACTGACAATTAAGAATTAATTAATTTATTATTATTTCACCGAAGCTAGCGCTCGTTCATCACATTCTTATTATGCCGGAACTTAATCCACCTGCAGGGTTCAGCATAACAATCCTTCATGAACTCACTCCGGGGACATCATCAAACTAACGCACATGGTGACCGTAAATATCCTAACAGCACATCCTTTATATAATAATATTACCCAAAACAGTTGGAATATTAATCTAGCGAACTGAACCTCACCCATGTGAATCAAAGTAATATATATTATATATATATCTGCCTGTTTAATATCTTACGGGTTAAGAGAACGCAGTAATTAACCGAGGCCTAGTTCATTTACGACGATCAGTATAAAATGAACTTCTCCTCTCTGAGATCCTGTTCAATACATAAATGTACTAGCGCAACTAATCAGTCAAGACAAACTGTACAGTTGACACTACAACCGTTCGGATGGGGTGTTCATGTCCATCTAGGTTGTGAACAACTATTCTTGTTCGCAAGTAACTGACAGAGTGATATTCGGTTGGCCCGATGACGATCCACCCTATCTAAGTGCAGAACAACAGAATGTAGAACTTGTTTAATCTAACATGATTCTCATTCATACTGCCTCTTTCGCTGCCTCTGAGACTGCTATGTACTCGGCTTCCATGGTGGAGTCTGCCACGCATTTCTGCTTAGCACTCCTCCATGAAATGGCTCCACTTTCCAAGGTAAACACATAACCTGAGGTTGACTTACTTTCATCCTTATCTGACTGGAAATCGGAATCACTGTAACCCAGAGGTAACAAGCTGCCTGCACGGTAAACTAACATGTACTCCTTAGTCCTTCTCAGGTACTTGAGTATATGCTTCACCGCAGACCAATGTTCCCGTCCCGGATTACTTTGATATCTAGCTACCATGCCAACGGCGTAGCTAATATCTAGCCTAGTGCTCAGCATTGCATACATGACACTTCCTACTGCCGAAGCATAAGGAACTATCTTCATCTCCTCTATCTCCTTAGACGTCTTAGGAGACATCTCCTTAGATAGAGGTATTCCATGTCTGAAAGGTAACATACCTTTCTTGGAATCCTGCATGCTGAATCTGGCCAAGACAGTATCTATGTATGAAGACTGGGATAAGCACAACTTTCTCTTCTTACGGTCTCTAATGAGCCTAATACCAAGAATGTGTCTTGCTTCACCTAAGTCCTTCATATCAAACTGCTTAGACAACCACACCTTTACGTCTGATAACTCCTTCTTACTGTTTCCAATAAGCAGTATGTCATCTACGTAAAGCACAAGAAACACCACCACGCTCCCACTGATTTTCTTGTAAACACAGTGCTCATCCGGACATTGAGTGAAACCGTACGACTGGATCACCTCATCAAAACGAATGTTCCAAGATCTCGAAGCTTGCTTCAGTCCATAAATAGACCGATTAAGCTTACACACTAGATGCTCACGACCTTCAACAATGAATCCTTCTGGTTGCTGCATATAGATGTCTTCCTGCAGGTTCCCATTAAGGAAAGCTGTCTTGACATCCATCTGCCAGACCTCATAGTCCATATGAGCGGCTACAGCCAAGAGAATCCAAATGGACTTAAGCATAGCTACTGGCAAAAAGGTCTCATCATAATCAATACCCTCGATCTGGGTATAACCTTTCGCAACAAGCCTAGCCTTAAAGGTTTGCACCTTCCCATCCAATCCTCTCTTTCTCTTATAGATCCACTTACATCCAATGGGTCGTGCCCCATCGGGTGGTTCTACCAGATCCCAGACCTGATTAGAGTCCATTGACCCTATTTCAGCTTTCATTGCAACATTCCATGAATTTGCATCTTTATCTTGGAGTGCCTCATCGTAAGTTCTTGGGTCCGATTCTAGGCCTCCTGGAACTGAGTCTGACGACTCTCCAAGACCTATCCATTGGTCGGGTAAATGAAAAACCCTTCCACTGCGACGAGGCACTGTCTGCACTGGTACACTCTCAGTGTGTCGTGTTGCAGTATTATGTGATGTATCTACTTGCGCACTCGGTGGGGAACCATCAATTTCACCCCTTAGCTCCTCTAAGACTAGTCTACTCGCGTGCTTATGATTCATAATATAGTCTTCTTCCAAGAATCTAGCGTTCGTCGAAACGATCACCTTCTGATCCTCAGGACTATCAAATAAACCACCTTTCGTTCCCTTGGGATAGCCTACGAAACTCGTGCTTCCGAACGTTTCTCCAACTTGCCAGATTCCTGCACTAACACGTGTGCAGGACTACCCCAAACTCGAAACTATGAGAAATTGGGTTGCGCCCTTTCCACATCTCATAAGGGGTAGTGTCAACTGACTTCGACGGAACCATGTTCAGAATATACGATGCCGTTTCCAATGCCAAACCCCAGAACGAATCTGGTAACGTCGAATAACTCATCATAGACCTAACCATCTCCATAAGAGTCCTATTTCTTCGCTCTGCAACCCCATTCTACTGGGGCGTGCCGGGTGCAGTCAGTTGGGATTCAATCCCAGCTTCCGATAAGTAAGTCCTGAACTCTCCAAAAAGGTATTCGCCACCTCGATCAGAACGAAGTGACTTGATACATTTACCATGAAGCTTCTCCACAACTGCCCGATACTCCTTGAATTTCTCAAAGCATTCGGACTTGCGGTGCAACAGATAAACGTACCCATATCTCGAGTAATCATATATGAAAGGCACATAGTACTCGAAACCTCCTCTAGCCTGGATCGACATAGGACCACACAAATCAGAATGAATCAATCCTAGCACTTTTTGGCTCCTATACCCCTTTGCCGTAAACGGCCTCTTGGCCATCTTACCTTCCAGGCATGATTCGCAAGTTGGATAGTGCTCTTCCAATGGACCGAGATGTTCACTGGCCACTAACTTTTGAATCCTCCTAAGGTTGATGTGTCCAAGTCTAAGGTGCCACAGATATGCTTGATTCATCTGCGAAGACTCCTTCCTCTTATTAGATGTAGTTATGACATTATTCAATTCATTATGTTGCACTGTGGGAGAGTTCGGTTTGAGAACATATAAATTGCCAACTAATGAACCACAACATATGAAACGATTTTCAAAACGAATAATAACCATGTCATCAAACAAAACTGAAAAACCATCCATAACGAGTTTAGAAACTGAAACAAGGTTCTTTCTAAAGCTAGGAACATAAAGGCAATTTCTCGAAACCAAACTACTACTATCAAACGATAAAGTAACATCTCCCACTGCAACAGCCACCACTTTCGTAGCATTGCCCATGTAGATGGTGGTCTCTCCCTCCCTAAGTCGCTTGGTTTCCTGGAACCCCTGCAAACAATTGCAGACATGATCAGTGGCTCCAGTATCTCAACACCAGGTTCTGGTAGATACAACCGCTAAACATGTTTCTACGACATTAACGAGAGAGTTACCTTTCTTGAAGAGAGGGCAGTCGACCTTCTAGTGTCCTGACTTATTGCACTTGTGGCATCTTTCTTTCGGTTTCTTTGCCACAGCCTGAGGGGTCGGTCGTGGGTAAACCGGAGCATCCTGTGCCTTTGCCTTTCCTGCAGACTTCTTTCTCTTCCTGCCCTTGTGAGGCCTGGAAGGTCCAGCCTGCTCGGCGACTAGCACCTGAGGTGCTTGAGTGAATAAGGCCTCCGCCGACTGTAGTTCTGCAAGCAGTTCTGGAAGAGCCATATGCATCTTGTGCATGTTGTAGTTCAACCGGAACTGATCAAAGCTCTTCGGCAGATATTGGAGCATAATATCAACCTGGGTTTCCCCGTCAATATAACCTCCCATAACCTCAAGCTCATTGAGCTGCGCCATAACCCTGAGGGCGTGCTCCCTTACGGGTGTGCCCTCGGCCATGCGCGTACTCATCAGAGCACTCAAAGCCTCTTGCCTAGCAGCCCTAGACTGATGTCCGAACAGATCCATGAGATTGAGAAGTATATCTGGTGCAGTGTCCTTAGACTGATGCTGATGTTGAAGAACATTCGACATAGAAGCCAGAATGTAACACTTCTCCATCTCATCAGCCTTCTTCCACCGAGCATACTCCTCTTTCTCCTGCTCAGGAGCATCAGCCGCCGGCACCGCCGGGTAAGCATCAGTGATAGCAAACTTATAACCCTCAGCAGTCAACACTATGTCTAAGTTCCTCTTCCAATCAATGTAATTAGGACCAGTAAGCTGATTTTCTTTAAGAATGACAAACAACGGATTGAACAACATGATGAATATCCTGAGAATCATGCAAATAAATTTTACAGATTAAACACTTTTGAATTTAACTGTTAATATTGATATCCTCAAAACAACATTAACTTAAATCCACCGACATCTATTACACCTTGTGAGAATGCATGCTACGAGGGTCGCCCTACAAACTCGCATTTTGTAAGAGAAGGGCTTTTCTAAGGCCCATTAATTTCCATAAGTCAAAACCAAATTCATGACGAACGAAATTAATAGTCGGTCTCCATTTGGCCATGCAATAGAATTCAGGGACCCCGAGGGGGGTTAATAAATTTAATCGCATTCTAAATGAATCCCATTTCTTGGTCCTAAGGTCGTCAAATTTGATTATACGTCATCCGAGGGGAAGCCCGTACGCTCTCATAAGATTTCCTCTAACCATCTACTTTTAGAAATTTGTCCTGATAATTTCCTACAATTAATTTTAGCAATGTCACCCGAGGGGGAGCCCATTACCGCAATTAATTGATTTACCGACAAATTAAAAATGGAGGCCTTAGGAATTTTACAATTAACTTTAATTTAAAATCCCTTCTCAAACTTAGTATAATATAATGAGGATTTTTAACTATTTATACAATTCCAAATTAATCTATGTTAATGCAATAATTAATTATCATGCATATTAATTCATGCAATTCTAAATTAATCTATGTCGATGCAATAATTAATTAACTTGTACAATAATTTATGCAATTCTAAATTAATCCATGCCAGAACATAATTAATTACATGCATAATTTATTGACACAATTCTAAATTAATCATATGCATTACATAATTAATTAACATGCATAATTAATCTTACAATACTAAATTAATTCCATGCAAGAACATAACTAATTAACATGCATAAATAATAATTTAATGGCATAATAAATTTAATTAAATAAATAAATAAATCCACTATTATGGCCATTAAATATTGAGTCTCCTTAAACAAGGAAACTGTGACAGTTCTTTTCCCTGTTCAACTGGAACTCCTTTAAGCAGTAGAATCCTGGTTGATCTTGTACTGCTTGGACAAGAAGGCAAAACCTCTCCACCTCCTGCAGCCAACACCCGACCGCCGCCTGGCCGCCGCCGGTGGTCGGAAAAACGCGCCGTTTGCCTTTTTTTTTTAATCCCTCGAGGCTCGTTGATCTCTTGTGATCTCCCGGTCATCAACACACGATCACAATACGAAAAATATAATTTACAAAATTACATAATTCGATCCTAGATCCAACGAATGGATGTACATGTTTTCTAAACAAATAATTAAATCTATCCGGTCAACCCCCGGGCGAATAACTATTACAAACATTCATCCATAAATTCCTCGACATGCCCGAGGCTTTAAAAACAAATTTAAAACCATACATCACATTCAACAACATTCATCAAACACATAATCGGCCATAATAGTGGATTAACTATTTTCCTGCAAAACCGAGTTATGCAAATATAATCCAATATATGGCTGCGTTTGAACACATCTTGTCAAATAAAGCCGTAAAAATTCGAACTTTGTACAAAAACAAATTAACCAAGTGCTCTGATACCACTTGTTGGGATCTGTGAGGATCTCGTTATGTACAAATCACGAATTCAATAGCAAACGTAAACCTATGCGCAGCGGATCTAAAGGTTTGACGTAGAGAACTTACGGCTTAAAATTTATGTAGATCTGGCTGATCACGAACGGTTGACCGCAATTGATTGACCGCAAATCACGTCTTGGGTTGCACGAACAAGATCAGATCAAAATCGGATCAAACGGATGCAAACAGATCAAAACGAATTTTTGCAGTCAGGCTTCTTTCGGCGGCGCGTGAGGGCGCGTGCGGCGTCGACGGAGATAGAAAGCTCTCGTCGAGACGGTCGTCTGGGTATACTGTACGTCTCAATCGGACTTCCGGTTAGTTCTGCAGGTCAAAATATATTTCGTCTCGGTTTACCTACAGATCTTCTACTGTATTACTCAATACACCCTTCTTCAACTTGTACCAGTGGAGCAACAAGAAGAAGATAAAACTCGAATGAGATCTAGAGAGAGAGAGGCGTGTGAGGCGTGTATCTCGTGCGAATGATACTTCTGTTCTCTTCTCATGAGCTTAATGATGTATATATAGAGCTACAGTAGGGACCCTAAGGAGATTAAGAAAAGGGCTCCTTAATTAATTAGACTAACTGTGGGCCAAACTCACTCCTCTAATTAATTAAATAATATTAATGGGCCACCAACATTATATTATTGCACTCCCTCTTCCTAGCCCAAATTACATTTGAGACTCCAATAATAATTACTCGATTTACCTCCCCACGTTTAAGATATAATGTCCATTAATTAATTCGATTACTGACAATCAAGAATTAATTAATTTATTATTATTTCACCGAAGCTAGTGCTCGTTCATCACATTCTTATTATGCCGAAACTTAATCCACCTGCAGGGTTTAGCATAACAATCCTTCATGAACTCACTCCGGGGACATCATCAAACTAACGCACATGGTGACCGTAAATATCCTAACAGCACATCCTATATATAATAATATTACCCAAAACAGTAGGAATATTAATCCAGTGAACTGAACCTCACCCATGTGAATCAAAGTAATATATATTATATATATCTGCCTGTTTAATATCTTACGGGTTAAGAGAACGCAGTAATTAACTGAGGCCTAGTTCATTTACGACGATCAGTATAAAAT